TTCAAGTTATCGGGTTTTACTCGCACGCGCGTGCCATGCACGCACTATAATACTTGACAAATAAGGAGCACCATGCATCTTCTGCCTTCTCCTTGCGAAGAGGTTATTTACTGCCATATCCATTAACAGTCGTCGTTTTCTGTTGGAATGAATGATGTTTGATAGGCATAAACGCAATTTTTTTTTCTTTTACAACTTCATCCGCCATGTAGTTTGGATTTGGCGCCATTTGACGGACTTTGCAAATTAATTAAATTCGACAATTAAATTCGACGTCTGAATTAAAATTTGAAAAATGTCAATTCAAGTCGACTCGAATATGTATTTGATTCGACGCATGTAAAATGCGGCGTTTAGACTTGGCCTTACTTAAAATTACTTTCATGATGAACGACGGGAAAATTGCAAATATGTTGAACATAATGCACTGCTTCTCTCTTTAGAGTTAGATGGAATGCAATCTTAGTCAAACTCTAAAGTTTGATACTTAAATGGTAGTATGGGATCTTCAAATAGCGAACTAACAATTATATTATACTTGCCATGCATCATTTCACTGGCCAAGAACAGACACGACAAGTAGCTATATAGTATATATAGTTATCCTTTTCCATTGCATCTCTCTTTCATCTGCAATTAAAACACAATGAGTATTTATCATTGGAGTCCTTTTTCAAAGCAATTTTTCACCCTCCTCTTTCTAGATGAACCTTCCACTTTGAAAACATTCAAACAACTAAGCGGCTTGTAAAGTGTGGGAATCTTTTTCAGACTTAATGCATAGTCCCATGGATTCATGATTAGACTAATTAAAATACTATAGCTCAGCATGTTAAATTTCTGTGGGAATTTCGGAATCTGGCAGGGTGAAATTTTGGACTGATAGCAATAACATAGAAAATTATATTGATTCAGGAACGACAGTTCGAGTTAATGTGATATCATGCAAGATTATATAATACTCTTATGTTATGCCGGTAACCTTCTTGTGTGGGATGACCAGGATATTCAGGATGATAGAATACAATGATCATGTTGTGTTCATGTATACTCTTGATATCGCCAGGTTTTCAGTGTTGTTTCTAAGGCAGTGTTATTCCATTTTCAGCAAAATTTACAGTATGCATGTATAAATATAATGAAGAACTGAAGTTATAGTATGGATATTTTCTAAATTGATAACAAGTGCTTGTGTATTTTATGTGGAAAGTGATGACAATACATGGGGGTAGGAATGTAGGATTTATCACACTTCTTAGTATACATATAACTCCTAATTGTACTTTCAGGCGGCCAGCAATTGCCTGTACATATAAAATATAAATGTAACTGTAATCGTACAACTTCAACTATAAGATATATAACTATATAACTGTCTGTATCTGCAGTTGTATTGCTCTACATGTATAACTAATTGTCAAATGTATGACTGTAACTGTTCCCGTAACTACTCCCAAAAATAACCGAGTAATTAACTTCAACAGCATTGTCATCATTCAGAATTAGCCATGCGAAGCAGGGGCGTAGGAACCGGGGGGGGGGGCAAGGGGGCCAAGGCCGCCCCAAGTTTTCAGAAGACACAAAAAGTGCCCTTTTTCTGGTGGCAAAGTGCCCTTTGCCTTCGTGAAAAATGTTGTTCAGATTGCATTTTTGACTCACTGTTGTTGCAAAGTAACATCTGTGAGTCTTTGTGGTTACTTGAGTGTGGGGCAGTTAAAGAATGAGAAATGACCAGCTTGCTAATTGGCGCGCACTCTTTGCCTGCGAATCGGGCCTTTCAGAACCGGAAATCGGGCTGGAGCACGACAAATGGCAAAATTTGCACGGTGCTCGTTTGCAAAAACAACCTGCAAACTGCTTTAATTCTTTCGGTCAATTTCATTTGATCTCATCCGTGAGTCGGCCAATTTATTTTCCTTCTCTTTCCCCCTCCCCTGTCGCCAACATTTCCGAGAAAAATTTTTTAGGTGCCCTTTTCATTCCAAAGGTTCCCCTCGAAACCGGTTATGTATAATATTAACAATAACTGAAGATAAGAAAATTACTGGTTCTTGGACGTGCACGCATGTACTTCAGATAGTTGCATTTCAATTCGATTCTATCAATTATACGCTAGTATCCGTTATATGCTAGTAAAAGTAGCTAAAACACACGTTGATAGCAATGATAGGTTCAGCATCCACATGATCATATTCATGAGGAAAATGACTTGAATCAGATTGTTTTTACTACTGTTAACTCTGTTCTCTACCGTTTGCTTGAGAAATTACTGATGTAACCAGGGCCGTAGCTATAGGGGGGGGAGGGTTGTGACACTCCCCTAAAAACGTTTTTTCGGTAAAATAACCGTTTTATCGGCATAATGTTTTCCTAATCAGCGAAAATATTCGAGTGGCTCGGTAGTAATAGTATAGCAAAAATTTTGATAAATTTATGAAAATATTACCGAAAAATTTAAGAAATTACGGTACATGAATTAGAAAGTTAGTGAACAATGTATGTCCGAAAATTTTTTACCTCCCCCAGCCCGCTCGCCAACAATATGGGGAAAAATATTAATTAGCGGCTGAAATGTTGTCGGCAAATGTAATATTACACCCCCCTGCTTTAGCCTCTTCACTACGGCCTGGATGATGTAGCATTTGTTTTACTTCAAAACATGACAGCACTATAATTTAGTTTCCACTGATGAAATCAAAGTGCTGTAATGTTTTCTGTGAAGTAAAATATGTCAGCCAACGTCAGTTACATGCACAATGCACTATACGCACATGCACAGTGTGATTTAGTTTATAATATGGATCAGATTGTGTGGACCGTTGATCCAGGACCTCCACGCTCTCTACAATATCCGCGACGAACTGAGTGTTTCTGATGATCACGATCTCCTTCTTCGCTCTCACCGTCTGATCCTCCCACATGCCCTTCGTCAACGTGCTCCCCACATCGCCCATGAAGGTCATCAAGGCATTACCAAAACCAAACAGCTGCTCCGCGAAAAGATTTGATTTCCTGGAATCGATGGGCTTACGAAAAAGCTAATTGACACCGTCTGTCTCGCCTGTCAGGCAACAGTCGTTCAACAGCCACTTGAACCTCTACGCATGACCGAGTTACCACAGGCCCCTTGGCAACAACTCTCTGTCGATTTCTGTGGCCTTCTTCCCTCCGGCGATATGCTTTTCGTGGTAATCGACGAATACTCGCGCTATCCCGAGGTTGAGATTGTTCGCTCCACCTCTGCAAATACCGACAAGAATTGGAAGCAACTAGCAAGAACTGTTTCTTTTCCTCAGAAACTACCGTGTGGCGCCACTAATTCCACCACAGGAGTTTCCCCTGCCGAGCTCCTCTTTGGACGAAAATTAACTATCAAGTTAGCTGAAGTGGTCCCCACGTCACCATCACGATCCAGATTCGCCGATATCGATCTCAAAAAGAAGGAAAAGATGAAAGAGTATGCGATACCGCAGCCAAAGCAAAACCACACAGCTTTCAAGTTGGTGACACTGTTATCGTTCGTCAAAAACGCGTCAATAAACTATCCTCACCGTACAACAAATATCCATATACTATCGTCAAGATCAAAGGTAGTATGATAACGGCAAGAAACGCAACCAGCTACATAACAAGAAATAGCTCGCAGTTCAAGAAAATCACTATCACCACACATTAATAAGATTATGCAGTAGGCCCTTTTGACGATGAGGAGATCAACATTCCAACACCGGACCATCCTGCGGAAATTAGGCGTTATCCCACAAGAGAAAATAGGAGACCTCCAGAACGCTTAAACATTGAATATCAACACTAACAATATTTAAACTAACTATGTTTTATTATTAAATATATATACTTCATTTTAGACCATTGGTTTTAATTAGGTCAAGTTTCTTCATATAAACAATGCCCGACAAACCTCCATTCAAAACAAGGGAGGGATGTAATAACCTGCCGTCATGTACTTATGTGACGTCACTTGTATATATGTAGCTAGCATTCCATGGATGTTAAATTTAGTATTGTTATAACCACTCAAGGCGCGTGCCTCGTATTATCATACTATAAGAATACCACAAAATGTACGAAAAGTGATCTCAAACAGCTCAGATTTAAAAAAAAATGTGGAGAGCGGGGCCCCCAGACCCCCTTTCTCTAGAAAGCTTACGCCTTTGGAGCTCATTCGATAAAATCTCCAGCCAGCCTGTCAATGAAATAGGTATCAATAAAACCTCTAGGGTGGCTGGAGATTTTACAGAATCTGTCTGTCAATAAAATCTCCTTCGGCTCTCATTCGATAAAATCTCCAGCCATGCATATTAACCGCATACTGACGTATAGGTATATAAATCACTTCACCAAAACCAAGTCATATTAAAGCAAGAGTCAAATAACTCTATTTTATTTGTCACCCGAATACAAGCCAGAAGCATATGTATAATGTAAAAAAAATACAACAATATTTTCTTATATTAAATTTATAAACTCCCCTTTGACCATTTATAGTAGACATCAGTGCATGTAGTGAAACGCACCAAATATACACTATCATGTGACAACAAAAAGAAAATGATATCAATAACTGACGCGAGTTTGATATGTACACAATTGGGGAATAATTCGGTATTCCTACGCTTGGGAGGTATGTCAGTGGTGGTCTGTGTGAATCGAGCGAATCAATATAACCCACAC